TGTCTGGCTGTCTGGTTCTCTCTCTTCTCTCTCTCTCTCTCTCTCTCTCTCTCTCTCTCTCTCTCTCTCTCTCTCTCTCTCTCTCTTTCTCTCTTCTCTCTCTCTCGCTTTCTCTGCCACTGTCCATCTTACTCACTTGCTCCTTCTCTTTCTAACAGCTCTTCTTCATCACTAACATAATATAGGAACAAAATAAACAATAGCGCGGACATATAGCGTCGTTTCAAAGAAAGAAGCCATAGGCCCCAAAAGGAAGAATAGGATCAGTCTACGAGGCGAATCGTATCAGGTGGTACATCGAGCCTTTGGGTCGCTTTCCTTTCAAATTTGCAGACCTCAGAATCATTACCATGACAAACAGTGAGATCTTGTCAAAACCCTCCCTCCTCCCTTTTATCAAAATTTTACAAAAGAAAATATAGAGAAAAATTGATAAACGATAAAAAACAAGAAAGAAAGAACGCAAAGAACTACAGAAGCCAAAGATAACAAATAATAAAAAAAACAGCTACTTTCTAATTAGGCGCATGTCCCACCTTCTAGTTTCATCTTATCTCTGTTCTCAATCTATATTCATGGCTCCCTCTTTAGGACCCCAAACTCCTGCACAATGTATCATCTGCATCCTCCATACATAAATTATCAAGGTTCATTTTAATAATTAAATAATTTAACTCGTCTGCTTTATTACGGCATGACCTGGTGTAAAGGCAAGCTACTCTGACATTTTGTGTTACTTCTTGCAAAAAGTTCCGACTGTCGATTATGACCAAATTGTTAAAGTTAATTCTGTTTTTCGGTTTGCTGCTGAAACACGAGTTTTCTAAATCATAAACACTAAACACCACAGGGATTGTCCTTTGTTTTCGTCGTCCACACGTGTGTGTGCGTGTGTGTGTATGTGTGTGTGTGTGTGTGTGTGTGTGTGTGTGTGTGTGTGTGTGTGTGTGTTTATGTATGTGTGTTTTTGGCTACATTGTGTATATATAACATAGAATCTAGCTGCACGATTTACAAGCTCCTGCTAGCACACTTTCCCTTGAGCTGGTTGGAGACCCATCCTCCGAAAAGGAGCCATATTTTGTTAGCCAAAAGCCAGACAATGCCGCAACAGCGACTTGTTTTTATTTTATAACTGTATATATATTTTACAGGGCCGTTAACGCAGTTTAAATCCTTTAGTAGGTGGACGTTAGACCCTGAACGCCTGTCGATGTCAGTGCAAACCTGGGCTAAGCGGGTATACAACACCCCGGCAGAGAGCTGGAGGCACTAGGGGAAAAAATAAAATTCTCCCCTCTTGGAAATCGGACTCAAGTCTCCTGTGTGCGACGGCCAAGTGCCGAACCTCTATCCCACAGGATGCTGGGGTGGGTGGTTGGTGGGTGCTCTGGTGTGGTTTGCCCCTTCTTTCCTATCAAACATCTATCATCTCTATCTCCCCTCCTTCTTTTTTGTGTATTCTACTCTCTTGTAACACCTGTAATCTTCGGCACTTATATGACTTAATTGTTTTGCAAGTGCCGTAAAACACTTACTAAAACTTTTTAAAAACAGACGCTGGTATAATTGAA